ATACATACACACACGCACACACATGCACACTCACATACACGACCACACACAAAACACAATACACAATACACACACACACACACACACAAACATACACATACACATACACACATACACACACACACATATATATATATAAATCGAAATAATGATTGTGGTGTATATATATAGTTGTATTGATAAAGATAAATTTGTATTAGTATTAAAAGCTTCATTCTCATGTGGTGCCGAATCGAAGTCGACTGTCGAATTGGTTTTCGATGCCTGTGTGCTAGGGGTTAGGCTGTATCATCGCCTGTGTTTTAGGGTTTACCATCGCATGTGTTCTAGGGTTTAGAGTTTATCATCGCATGTGTTCTACGGTTTAGAGTTTACCATCGCACGTGTTCTAGGGTTTAGAGTTTATCATCGCATGTGTTCTAGGGGTTAGAGTTTATCATCGCATGTGTTCTAGGGTTTAGAGTTTATCATCGCATGTGTTCTAGTGGTGAGGGTTTATCATCGCATGTGCTCTATGGTTTAAGGTTTATCATCGCCTGTGTGTCATAATAGTGATGGCTCAATACCCTTCGCCCACGTGACACGCAGTCCACTCCATTTGGTTCGCAGACACGACAGAACGTCACTGCGCATGGGATGGTCGTCATTAACCCACTGGGCCTACAGCCGAGCAATCCATCACAGGGATAACGTTATAAGTTCGAATATATTAGTCCATCAGAGAGTTTGTGAGGATAATGATGGGAGGCTCAATAGGGCTCAATACAACTACAACAGGTGCTCTATAAATAGAATACAACAATACAACCACAACAGGTGCTCTATAATTAGAACACAACAATACAACGACAATAAGTGGTCTATAAATAGAACACAACAATACAACCACAACAGATGCTCTATAAAATAGAGCACAACAGTACAACGTGATATACCTACCTCACCCTGAATAATAGCTGGCATTTGATCTGAACCTTTGATCAAACAATTGACATGCAGCAGCGGAAAACTGCTCGGGATGAGTGGTGTGCGCTCATGCTGTGCATATGTGGAGAAACATCAATTCAATTAACACAAATCAATATATTTAATTACTCAATTAAATATATGAATACAAGTAACTATTCAATTAACAAATGACTATAGCTAAATAGTCAACGAACACAAATCAATTTAACTAATTTTTCAACTAACAAACATCAATATATCTAATTAGTCAACTAACACAAATCAATACAACTAATAATATAATTAACACATCAATATAGCTAATTATTCAATTAACACAAATCAATACAACAAATTAGTCAACTAACACGCATCAATATAACTAATTATCCAACTAACACGCATCAATATAACTAATTATTCAATTAACAGAAATCAATATAACTAATTAGTCAACTAACACAAAAAAATATAGCTAATTATATAATTAAAACACAAATGAATATAATTTATTATTCATTAAACACAAATGAATATAACTGATTATTCAATTGACACAAATCAATAAAATTAATTATTCATTTGGGGGTTAAAACACAAGTGCACAAAGAACCATGCACAGGCCACCATGCCCGTGACAAAGAAACATAGACAGAGCATAAACTCAAGCAAAACCCTAGAACCCTACACATGCACAACCTCAAGACAACATACCGATTGAGCAGGAGCAACGACATTCAGGAAATCAGTCTTCAACACAATCCCTCCGGAGTCAATGCGATGGGCAATGGGCAGCAACCGCTCCTCTAGAGACCCTGCACTCTCACCTACATACAACCACAGAGAAGGTCAACACGATACAACACCCCAAGTACAGTAGCAGACAACACACCAAGTACAGTAGCAGACAACACAACAAGTACAGTAGTACACAACATACCAAGTAATTCAGTATCAGTAGCATGTAACACACCAAGTAGTATAGTGTCAGTAGCATATAACACACCAAGTAGTGTAGTATTAGTAGCATAGAACACACCAAGTAGTGTAGTGTCAGTAACAAATTACATACCAAGTAGTATAGTGTCAGTAGTATATAACACACCAAGTAGTGTAGTGTCAGTAACAAATTACATGCTAAGTAGTATAGTGTCAGTAGTATATAACACTCCAAGTAGTGTAGTGTCAGTAACAAATTACATACCAAGTAGTATAGTGTCAGTAGTATATAACACACCAAGTAGTATAGTGTCAGTAGTATATAACACACCAAGTAGTGTAGTGTCAGTACAATATAACACACCAAGTAGTGTATGGTTAGTAGCATATAACACATCAAGTGGTGTTGTGTGAGTAGCATATAGCACACGAAGTAGTGTAGTGTTAGTAGCATATACCATCCCAAGTGGTATAGTGTTAGTAGTACACCCCCCCCCCTCACTAACTCATAGCTGTCAGCCCATGCACATACGCACCTTCTGAGATGCAAGTGGAGGCACTACCAGCAACCACATCACGCAGCACCGCCATGATAGCTGAGATCTCGATGAATCCATTGCCCTGCAGAGTTATATGCAATTTATATATATATATATATATATTATACACATGTACATATAGTTATACATATTCATATGCATGTACACACACATATATACATACATACATACATATATATTTAGATATATATATATATATATATATATATTGCAACTCAGCGCAGTGTGAGAAGTGGTGGCGAACATCGAGCGTCGCCTCGTATCGATAAAACCCTACAAAACGCTAAAAACTCTAAGAGCCCTAACCACAAAAACTTTAAACACATGCATATACGATTGCTAAGCCACAGTTCATAACATAAGTCTTTGTAAGGGTGACCTATGTAATAAGACGACTGCCATCTGTTATGAAATACTTACACAATGTCACACAGTCATACACACACTCACACAGCCATCCACACAGTCAAACAGCCATTCACACACTCACACAGCCATTCACACAGTGATGTACACACCTGTGTGTCATGTGCATTAAATATCCTCGTGGCGCGCTCGTGTCTGGGCCGGAGAAGATAAATGAGTCACAAGATTAAGAATGAGAAGAATAAGGATGCTTGGAACTGTGAGATTGTACAGAATTTCCAAAAATGTATATCTATACACACACACACACACACACACACATATA